AAAAGCCCCCCCAGTGCTCGGTTTGGGCTTTGCTGACGTGAGAAATTCGAGCAGAGAGGGAAGTGATGCAACCCCAGACGCCGCTCTCGCTCCTCCAGCGCAAACAACAACCGCCTGACGTCTCCAAAAAAAAAAAAAAAATTATTTAAGAAGCCAGGCTGATTTTCCAGTTCTGGATTCGATGGTTTTTTGAGGCTTGCAACAAAAAAAAATCTGAATTTCAGTAGTCGGGGTTGGGTTTTGAAGCTTGGAATAAAAAAAAAAAAAATCTGAATTTCAGTAGTYRGGGCTGGGTTGTTTAATGTTTTAAAGAACGGGAGCTTCCTTCCTCTCCCAGAGCGCCCAGGATTTGGAAATGTATTGCACAAATGTCTGAGAACTTGAATCATCATGGGCTGGGTGAGAAAACAGCTCCGGTTTTGCCAGGTCAGGAAAAGGGGAAGGTTCAAAGCAAAGCAGAGAGAAAAATCCGGGAAGTTTCGCCACAACCATGTCCACGCCCCTGATCTTCTCCCAGGAACTCTGGGGTTTGGTAAAAAGGCAGTGGGGGTGGGATATCCCCAGGAAAGGCTCCTTCCCGGCAGGAAGGTGGAGTTTAGGGCCTTGAAATCCCACCAAATTTGGGRTTTTAAGGCTAAATCCTGAATAACAGCTGGGCAGAGCCTCCCTGAATAATGGGAGTGTAAAAAGGAGCTTTGCTGGAGCAGGCAGAGCACAGAGCCGGGAATAAAATTGTGCAAAATTTCTGTACCAAAGAGATGGGAACCAAATCCCTTTTCCAAGGGGGCGGGAGAGGGGGAGAGGGAAGTGCTGTGGCTTTGAAAGCAATGTCRGGACACCAAAACATCCAAAAATCCCACACAGAGACCCCAAAAAACTCCCGATTTGAGGAAAAAGGGCAGTGTCACACATCAGTGAGAGGCTCTTCTGGAAAAGGGACACGGAGAGGAGGTGGCAGCACCGGATCAGGGGACAAAGGGCACAGAGAGGCCACCAGGGTTTGGGTCCGAGCCCCTTGGAGAGCAGAGAAACTTTGGAATTCACAGCTGAGCCAGGGTGTGGAGGAGCCTGATGTGGGTGGGGGTGGCAGCTGGGGACTGAGAGCAGCGGGGACAGCCCCTCAGTGCCACCCTGGGGACATCTGTGGGATATCTGTGTCCCTCAATGCCACCCCACGGGGCACCCTGGGGACATCTGTGGGACATCTGTGCCCCTCAATGCCACCCTGGGGACATCTGTGCCCCTCGGCGTGTCTCTGCCGCACTCCACACCCCAGGGAAGGGTGTCCCCATCAGCGGGGCAGAGCAGAGTGGCAGCTCCCYGATGTCCCCAGGGTCACCCAACCCCAAATCCAGGCCCCACAGARCTCAGAGCAGCCGGGGAGGGAGGAAAGCAGCACCTCCACCCCTCCTGCAACACCTGGAGGAGCGGCAGGAACGCTGGGAAGCAGGATGGTGACAAAGTGACATCCCAGCCACACTGCCCAGCCTGGCTGTTCCCCCTCATCCCCCATTCCAAGTGAACAAAACCAGCCCCAAAATCGCCATCCAACGCTAAATTAGGTAGATCTCGGCTTCACAATAATAATAAAAATGGAAAAAAAAAAAACCAAAAAACTCACAAGCTTGCAACAGCTTTAGAAAAGGCACCTGGGGGCACCGCCTCGGGTCAGAACGGCGCCTGGTATTTTAATTTTGGATTTTCTGGAGGTTTTTTTTTAAAAAATATAAATAGCTCTTCATCTTAAAAATAAATCCTCAGCTTGAGGTATTACAGTAGCCTGTGTCTCGGCAGTGTAAGGACAAAGAGGAGATTTTTTTTCTTTTTTTTTTTTTTGTGGGTTTTTTTGTGGTTTTTTTTTTTTTTTTTTTTCTCTTAGCTGGAGACAGTCATGATGTAGTTTTTGGAAGGGCTTTGGCGGCCCAACATCATCTGGTTCTTGCAGGTGAGCATCCCGTAGGAGCTGGGGGCTTTGGCGGCCGCCGCCTCGTACAAAACGCAGATGGATCCGTCCTCTCCGATCCGATAGGAGACTTCATAGGGATCCACCCAGAGCGTGAGCTCGCTGGGCAGCAGCTGGTAGAGCTGTGGGAGGCTCAGTCCGATCTGCCTGGCGGCTTTGCTGATGATGGGGTCCATCCTGTGGTTGATGCGGATGCAGCGGTACCCGGAGCCTTTGAAGGGTTTCTCGGGGAACCAGTGGTGTTTGTAGTGCTCTGTGGGGGAAAGGGGGACAGTGGTGAGTGAGTGGGAGAGGGGTGAGTGGGTCCAGT